TAACGTCCAATCGAACATAAACCATAAAAGTATGTGTACCAAATAAAATACTAAAGAATCCCACTCGAACAAGACGCTGGCCGCCCAGGAAGCGAACCCACCCAGAACGAGGCACTCACTCAACGGTTCGAGAACAATGGTGGTAGGCAACATTGCTACCCTTAATTTAGCCCATCGTCGTAGTCGCGCTTGGAAGGAATCGACCGCGCAGTGGCCACTGTTCTGTAGCGCCGGCTGCGAGGAGACGGTGATGCGCCAGCCGCGGTCAGTCAACGATTTCGCGTAAAAAAAATCCTCTGCAAGATAGATGCCGAACGCTTTTAGACCACCGACCTCGTCCAATGTGAATTTTTTCAGGAGTGCTGACATACCGGTATGACAGTTTATCCTGAGCATATCTGCAGCTAGATACATTCGTGACTGCACCGTACCGAAAAAGATCTTTTCGTACGCGGCGGCGAAACCTTCGCGGTCACAGGTAAATGGCATCTGATGAACTAAAGCCACTCTATCCGTCATATGATGGACCATATCTAGTAGAGTGTCCTCCTTCATGCGTATGCCACTGTCGCTGATCAACACGAGTTCGTACTTGGCAGCCTCGTATGCCGGCTGCATGTTGTTGATCTTTGGATTTACCCCTACTTTACAACCACCAACGAAGAGCGTGGCCTCGACTTCCGGATACTTTTCGACAAGCTTGCGCACCAGCATCAGCACGGGATCGGAGTCATCCTCGACACAAAACAGGAGCTCGTATCGGGGATACTCCATGGTGAAGAAGGTTTCGAGATTACCGAATAGATTTGGGTCAACCCCCATCAGAGGTTTTATCACGGACACTCCTGGCAGCGGTGTCTCGTAACTCGGAGCCTGATTCATCTTCCGATGCAGCTTCCAACGACCGGTAATTAATGCCAGCACATGAACCATCCACATACCCGACCAGAATATCATGAAAAATATCGCGAACCCGTAGAGAGTATATAACATGGAGTTCATTTTCCAAGGAGCAAGAGAGCGAGGGCTTTAGGCCACCGCAATCTAGCGTGCCGGCGTGTTCAAACCGGCGGCACCTCCTTCCTTCTTTTTGTCCTGCTTTCTTTCCACTATTTCTTGCCTCGACCGAGTACCCTCGTGCGGACACATCACGAGAATCTTCGCCCCAGGTCGAGTGACGCGCCCTACTGATCGAGCATCACTGTCGTTTTCATAGTACGACGGCGGCGACGGCGACGACGACCACGACGACGACAACGACGGCAACGTGCTCGCCTCTTGCAACACATTCACGCTCCGGTCCACTCCAGCTCGCTTAAACTACGATAACCTCTTTGACTCGCACCAACGAGCGCGTCAACTGCGCGATTCGTCCGTATTGAGGCAACTTGCTTCTTGCTCAGGATGGGATTTCATCTTCCATCGACAAGCGAACGATATAATTAAACCGTGATTGGATCGCATTGTCGTTATAGATTTCACCGCCTCAAATACGTCACTATTCCCCGCAATCGCGTTTCATATCATTGATACTCTTCCTTTCTATCGACACTAGCAAATCGCGCACCGTCATAACTCTTGACGTTCTTGGGTCGCTCGAATCAAACTTGGTTACCTTATTCTTCGCGCTTGGTATCACGCGAATCAAACAAGAGAGAGAAAGAAGGAAGAGTGGAGAAGGAGATAAAGAGGAAGGAGGAAGTGAGAAAGAGAGACTTTCGGAAGCGAAACGAAACGATCTGTCTCACCACAGAATGCTTCTTGATGTGACCAGATGCGACGCGCGCAATAACATGTCTCATCGACTATCTCCCCTCTCTTATCTTTCTTCCGTACGTAGAAACCAGCACCTTTATTTCGTAACGAATGACTCACTAATATCTGACGCGCATTCTCTCGTATTGATGTATATACACTTGATACGTATATATCGCTTCTCGATTATTTTCAATTATCGAGAGAAAAATATTCCGTGTCGATGATTCGGATTAGCAGCACGCACGCAACGATTCGTGGAATGCGTGAGGGAGAATCCAGCCCAGCTCTGCGCGCTCAAACTTGTAGTAAGCCCACTTTTGAGCGTTTTGCGACAAATATATCTCGTAATACTCAAAATTTCGACAGTCGAACTTATATTCATCCAATACTATTTTTAAAAAATTTTATCGTATTACTCTACAACTAAGCAGTTTCTGCTGTTAGTTGGATGTCGGATAACGAATAATTTTCAGATACAAACGCCACCTACATTTACTTTTGATTTCTGAAACTGTAACGAAATTCACATTTTGTAGCAGTCGATAAAACTAATTGAAAAATTTCTATGTACAATATATTCAAATATAATAAAATGTTTGTGTAAGTCCGAAACAATAGATATGTAGATCTGGAGTAATGTAATCTGGACATAATGCATGCACGCGTGCATTAGCATACTATTATTACTATGATGTCGACTGTAGTTGGTTGGTTCTTATATTCTGATCCGGATTAAACCCTCGGTGAAAACTAGGCCAATGATAGCACATCATGTTCAAGCATTTTCTCAAAATGTTGATACACAAATTATGTTAGTACGCAAATATTGGGTCATCTAAAAAGTATCCGCGGTACTTTGTCAAAATATATCGAAAATTAAACTTGGTAGGCAAAAATGTTTCAGACAAAAGTTATATGGCTTGAAGAAGGACATAAGATGATATCATTAGTTTGATCTTGGGTGTTGTACTTGTTAAGGTTAGGGCAAGAACACTTTGAATTGTTAAATAGAACGCTCCATTTTTCATTGCATATTCTTGTAGCTTATCACAAAAGCTTTTCAAAACACTATAATAAAATTTTTTTTCGTTAAGTACTTTTCAAAGTATAGTGTTTTTCAAAGTATAGTGTTTGAAAGTTACAGTATCAAAGTTACTAGTATTAATATCAAATAAGATGTCTAACTGATGGTTAAAATTTCTTAAATGTTGTTCAGAATTATGATTTAGATGATTTTTAACAATATCAAAGCTATTAGATCTTGTTTATCTTATTTTCATTTTGCATTAAAAATTCATCTTAAAAATGAAAATAAGAAAAACAATCTCCAATGACTTTGATCATGTGACAAATGTTATCCAGATCATGATCCTAAACAACATTTAAGAGATTTTAACTGTTGATTAGGCACCTTAGATAATGATAATGCTGATGATATTATAACCTTTAAACATTATGACTCGAAAAATATTTAACAAAAAAAAATGTATTATAATGTTTTGAAAAGCTCTCGAGGTAAGTTACGAAAATATGCAATAAAATATGAATTTTATTTAAAGATGTACAATTACCATCAAATTCAATTTGACAATTACTTATGGTAAAATAATAATTTATTGATAATTTTGATAAAATTTGTTTTTTATAAATGTAAAATTTAAATATTAATTAAATATTACCTGGGCTCTCGAAATTAAAAGTATAATAAAGTATATCGGGTATATTGAGAGTATCAACACAGCGCGGAAATTGATGCGCAATCAAATATAATTACCTTATAATGTTTACATAATATATAAATATACAATTATTGTCCATCTTATTAATCATCTTATGACTTGAATGTTTCGGTTTTCTTCAAATCATCTTCAGCAAATTCGTAGATATTTATCGATGTTTTTATAAAATATTGCAACGATGTTGGAATTAAACTGTGTGAGACTGAGACTGTGGTCAAAGTCTCGCTACAAATGCTTTAAAGTGTTTGATTAGAAGAAAGAATTTTACAAACTGACCAATTAAAAAATGCTTCAAAGCGTTTACAATATCGCGTTGACCATACCCTGGGGTGCGATTACGTGGCGCTCGGTATAGTAACTAATAGTAACTAACTAGGCAACTAGGACCGCGTATCACGTACTGCCTATTTCTTTCACTGATATTATGGCTCCGGCCACCAGCGCGGCCACTAGCGCGATGTTCGTCGTACGATACGCGATATCCAATGAGAATATAAAATGAAAATAATAAAGCTGTTAGAATGAAAATAATAAAGCTGTACACTCAAGGGATATCGCGTGTCGCACGCGGCAAATATCGTACTGGTTTGCCGGAGGCATAATATTCTATGACATAATATTCTATTCTCTATTCTGCAGTCGTTTTCCGTACCGTGTGATTTTACCTGTTGAGTAAGTAACAAGACTCAAGGACGGTTGTTCTATCTTTTGGTAAATTTTACTGTGAGGTAAATCTGGTAATCCACGCATGTGATTGGGTAATCTTGCTATTTACCTAACAGCTAAAATTTACCAAAAGATGGAATAACCGATCCTCAATCACATGCAGATACCTAATAGGTAAAATTTAAAAAGGTGGAACCGGGTCTCTTAATCACTTAAATTTTAACAGGCATACGAACTTCCATAAACGCCGATCGTCTTTGATAGTATCTCGTTAGTGAATGTTAGTTATGCGATAAGTCTCTTTCACTAACCTTGGTTAATTTAACCGAGATTGATGAAAGAGACCCTAATGTCTGTTTTTACCGATGTAATTTAATTTTAATTTTGATTCAATTTGCTCTTCATCCCTTTCTAGTCCTAATTAGAAAAACATGAAGAGCAAGTTCAACCGAAATCAAAATTAATCTACATTGGTAGAAACAAGTATTAGACCCAACTCCACAACTCACAGTTAACTCTTAACCGAGGTCCAACTTGTTCCTCATCTCTTTCCAATTCTAGAATTGAAAAGAGACAATGAATAAGTTAAATCTCGATTAAGAGTTAACTGTGAGTTATAGAACTTGACCTAATTTATATTAATATGAATCGTTGTTTCAGTGAAAATCTGTATATCCTCGTACAAGTCATAAATTGAGTGAATATCACTAATTCGGTCGTTTTTTATCCTTTTTATCGTATTGGGGAAAAATTTCATTTTTTTTGATTATAAAGTATTTTCCATATAAATTTTATACAAATTTTATAAATAATGGATTAAATAAAACAGATATTTTATTATTTTTTAAAATCAAATTTTATTTTATTTTCAAATCAAATTTCAATTTTTCGTTTTCTACACATGCATTTCGAGAAAATATGAGGAGGCAACCTAAAGAATGTTGCTGTTTAGTTACGAGCATTTATCTTATCTACTTGCATCATGACAGGCATTTTTTAACTTGTCAATTGATTAATCGCATTATACACAAATGCAGCTTTTGACGGAACAAACTTATGTTTGCGCACAATACAATTGTTCAATCAATGAATTAAAAAACTCGCTCTGTTTCTTTGACAATTCAAATGTATCAATTTAAATGTAAATAATTAGTTTGAGCTACATAAGCTTCGTTAAACAAATATCTAAAAGCAATCCTGATAAAAGATTAAATAGCAAAGTTTTCACTTTTAATATTGCTTGTATTTCTATGTAACAATATTTAGAGAAAATTAACATTAATAATTTATATATCAATTCATTTAATATAGAATAATCTAAGTGACATGTGGATAAGGACACATCACTAAATACTTTTAAAAAAATCTTTCTCAATTTTGTTATTAAAAGTTGTATGACCCAGTTGGACTACTATCGCTGTATATCCTTTATTATTCTTTCCAATAGATACTTTGGAAAGTCGATAATAAATGAATTAAAACTGAAAAGAAAATCCAATATTGAAGGTAATATTTATAAAGTGAGAATAGATATGCAATATATTTGGATACTTACTCTTTTTAGGAATTCCTCTGCACATATACGTGCTCTAGCATTAACTGATAATTTCATTTCACTTATTTCTCTATCAATTTCTTCCATAAAATGAATAACAAAATCTACTATTTTGTGTTTGTACATTTGTTCTACATGAATATTAGTAATTAAAAAACTAATATCGTAACCCTAAAAATAAATGATACAATATTATGAATTATGAAAGCTTAAAAGCTTACAAATAGACTTATGTATTCACTTCTACTGGTTTTCTTCTGAGAATCATAAAATGTTCAGCCCTCATTGTCATGAATCTTGTAAAATTGTGACAAAGAATCTTTTCTAGATCATCAGCTTGTTTCACGGCAATACTTATTCTCATACTATTTATACTGGATTCGATCAAGACTTTCTCCTTGTCATTTCTACTTATCAAGATGGGTGTTAAAAGCAGTTCTTTGCTTGCCCTTACTTCTACTTCGGGCTTGTTATGTTTTTCTACGATTTGAGAGGAGAAGTTCTCCAGGCACATGGCGGCAGTAAGTGTACGCCTGACTGCTGTCAAATAGGGCTTTAATGTACCCGACTGTAAAAAATAAATATCATGAGATATCAAATATTACATTGAGTCGTATTAGTTTCACAATGAGTCAGTAGTCAGTAGTTTTAGAAGTTGACTGCTGGTCAACTTTATCGATTCACCGACAGACTATTGATTCATTAGAACCAGTGGCCTAGTTTACGTTGTGCACTTGATACTATATATATATATATATATATATATATATATATATATCAATTTTCAGTAACAATGATGTGCTAAATTGATATAATATGTATCAAAATGATTAATTAAATACTCATATCATATATTTACATATATCTAGGAAATTAAGATAATTCAATGGAAAGTTACTAGTTAATATCAGTAAACTGGGCCAAGATTAATGATTTTGAATTATACTACAAATTTATAGATAATCATTTAATAATACCATTAAGAGGCGACACTAATTATTGTTGTGTGTTAGTTATTTATTTTTCATTTTAATGGACAAATTATTTTACAAATTTTTTTTGATCCAACGTTTTGGATCCTTCTCAGTGTTAACATAAATATAACTATCCCTAAATCTAATAGATACCTATATCACAAATATTTTCACAATTGTAAGTAGAATGCAGTTACTCGCTATGACATATGTTGAGTCAAATGATGTTTCTGTTACTTTCATCCATGCAATGGCTTCACTAAATTTACTATGTCGAATACAATAACCACATAAATCTATTCGTATATAATATTAATGTACATATAATAAGCTAATAACTTACATAAAGAGCCATATCAAGATTTTCAACGCGAGATATTGCCACTTTGATGTCTATTGTTCGAATAAAGCTAAGATGTAAACGTTACATGTGTCGATATTTTATAAATTATTGAAGAGAAGGAAACAACACATATTAGATAAATCCATATCATTTTTTCAATAATTTATAATTTATAAAATACCTTAATGGTATTATTAAATGATTACTTATTTAAGTCAACAGAGCCTTTAACCATTATTAGATTAAATCCATAGATGGAAGTTCATATGGATGACATTAACTAAAAAAAGCCAAACATTTTTACTTGAAATTAGAAATCTACACAAATCGTATCAGAGCTACTTATCAGAGATACTTATCTTGATACATTTAATCAATAGTTAAAAGTGTGCTATACTTGTTACAAGTCAAACAAGTTCGATGTATGGAATAATGTGACTTACCATACTTGCGAAAGTTAATTTACAGGTTACAATATGACATTCGCATTAACTAATCAACTTTCAGAAGCCTGGAAAACTTTATATTGTTCTATTTGATACGGAAATAACACATTAAATTAGCGAACACTCTTTGGCTCACTATTCCGGTTTACAAGTGGACAAATTCAATGAACTTGCTCTATCTAAATTGAATTAGTAATGCAATCTTTTTCAAAACCACAGCAATTTCTTTCGATCTCTTTAGTATATTATTCGATTTGCTGACTCGATGGACATCGAGTCAATGGTCTGTTCTTTTTAGCGAAAAAAGAGTAGAGCCATGGCACATAAAAACTTAAGCAGTAAAACGTAAGCAGTATGCGAATTAATCAATCACAAGCCTAATTTACACCGAGGATTCAGGGCTGCCGCACACAAAATCCATAACAGTATGCGTAAGGTATAAACTTAAGTCGAACCAATCAGAATACTGTTTTAGATTACGTAATCTAAAATGAAAATGGAAATGGAAATAACAGTAAACTTATCCATAACCTCGCAATAAGGTGAATTTCAATCGATTGAAAATCGCCTTATGGATAAGTTTACTGTTTCCATAAGAGTACGCAGATCTGAAGCAATATCCTGATTGGCTCATCGGCTTAAATTCACGCCTTAAGGTTACTGTTACAGAAATTTTATGTGCGGCAGCCCCAATCCTAGTCGGAATGTAAGAACCAATCAACTGCAGTCGAGCATTCCCTTGCCATTTGACTGTAGGAGAGACTGTAGGAGAAGAGAATGCTTGACTGCAGTTGGTTGGTTCTTGCATTCTGATCCAGATCGAATGGTTGGCTTGGTGTAAACTAGGCCACAGTAAAGCCATAACGTAAGCAGTAGCCAATCCAACATGTTGATTTCCCTACTGTTTACTTCTTACTACCTTAAGTTTTTTGTGTGCCACGGCCCTTTAATTTATACAGAATTCCAGAAAATACAGTTAAAAAGAATAAATCAACTAGTCAATATGAGTTAACATTTCAAATATGCTATTTGATTTCTTCTTCTTTATTTTAATGGCTTCCGCCACTTAGGAAAAGACAGTTGAAAGTCAATTCAGTTAAGGGTGCGGTCAAAGTCTCATCACAGTATAAGTACATACAGTATGAACACTGAACTTTTGATGTGGTTCCCAATTTTTAGTGCGCATGCGTCGATTTCCAACCAGGAATGTTGGCTGTCTTCAGCAAGTTGAAATTGCAAGTTAGATTAGGTTAGCTAGACCCTCCTTCTCGTAAAATATAATTAATCCTTTCGCCTACAATATTGTGTGAAACTCGTAGTAAAGAAATCGGGCCAAACATGAGTATCACGAGTAAGAGCCGTGGTACGTCGTATGTACAAAGCTTAATTTTTTAATTTATAAGAGAAAAATATGGCAAAGGGTTAATAAAATTATGTTTTACTAAAAAATTAAATCAAATTTTTTTCGGAGAATATATTGTGTAGACTGTTATATTTGTATACCATAAAATATTCACATGATAAAGTATACATTTATCCCTAGGATGGAAAGTGAAAGGTGAAAATTTTAAAGTTTTAACATTAAAGTTAATAGAGAAATTTTTTACTTTTCATCAGATTTCCTAATCCAAATAGTCGTCGATTTTATAGGATTATCTCGGTTTGTGGAGCAGAGCGACATTTTTTTCTTGTCAAATTTTTACTTTTATGCAAAAACACATCGATTCAGTGTATTTTTATCAAAATTTGAGGTGAGCAAGCTCTTCTTAATTAATATTTATTTTTGTCACTAATCGTACTATACAATCAAGTAGAATCAAAATGGCGAATAGGAATACCTACATTTAATCACAATATACCTGCACAAAATTATTCCCGCTACAAGTCAATATACATATTCGATACTCAGCATTTTATTATAGCTAGATATATTTTTATATACATATTGACGTAATACGAATTTAAAAACAAATTTTATATAATAAATTCTAATCTGTTTTTTTCTAACATTCTATTTGAAGAACTCTGGAGGAGGCGATAGCTCTCTCCACCTCCTGTATCCGCCACTGTTTCCTTACAGGAGGAATTATACTCCCCCTTTACACTTCCTTTACATTCCAATTAACACTTTATTGAAACTCGCTTCGTTTTATTTTCACCAGGGAAATGTGTTATATTTAAACACGTATACATATTATTATTCAATTGAAACTGCTTTTAACATGTTTTTTTGCCATTTTAAATTACAATGCACTTAAAACATTTTACTTTAATTCATTGTAATGTATAAATTAATATGTTTAATTGTATTAAATTGTATATAATTGTATATAATTGTATGTATATAAAATTGTTTATAGGATATAATAAATAATACGCAAAAGTAAAAGAAATATTTATCTTTATTTTCTTTAAATATATTTTATATTTTTATACGTGTACAATGCATGAACAATAAACTTAGAAGCACAAAAAAGATAAATTTTTTAAACAAAGCATGTAAGGAATATAATTCAAAAATAGAATTCTAATATGTACATATTTTAATGTGCATTTGATGTTTAGTTTGCACTAACATGCATTAAATAATATATCAAATGGATTAAACTTTAAAAAATACAAAAAAAAAGATAAACTGTAAAAAAAATGTAATTCGAATTAACAAACAAGAAATTTGATTTAAGAATAATAAAACATTATATATCAAGATTGTCGATCAACATTTGATTATTATGCACGTGATTCATTATCAATCGATTTTGCTTTTAAAGTATTGTTATATTAATGAATAAATTTTACCATAACAGTAAAATAAGCTTGGAAAGAAATAATTATCAGAATTTTGTGTGTATATATATATTTAAGAACATTTGCGTAACATAAGTTGAATACCCTATTATGCATTTAAAAGTCATAGAATAACTCTGTTTCATCCGCTACAATACATGTTGCTGCAGTTTCTTCATCGATGTATACGTCACCATATGTGGAGTTTCTTCTTTTTTAAATTTCTGTTAAACACATAACTTTTTTTAATAAATTTTCAATTTATATTACATATACAATAGCGTCATAAATATTTTGACATGCTAATATTTGTCGCATTTAACGAAAAGTTAACTATAATATATCAATGAAAAAAAAATCGTTAAGTTTTCGATTATGCATTTTGAGGTGCAAAAAAAGGAACTTTAAATTTGCGTTTGATTCTTTTTCTATAACATTTTGTTCCTAAATTATGTTAAATTAAAAATTGATATTTTTTGCGATTTTTTGCGATTTTTTAATCTTATTTTGAAGTGGTTTGATGAAACATCATCGGACAAAATTTTGATTATTTTAAAATAGACTTTTTAAGCTTCAAAATGCTATTTGAAAAAAATTGGTATGATGATTTTTCGAAAAAATATCAAATTGTTTTGTAAAATGCTATTGTTTAAACATTTACTTTTCTAAAATATTTTTTTTAACTTCAAAATTAAAAAGCTAACAGGAAAAAAACAAAAGAGAAAAAATATTTAATTGTACTTATATAAAGTCGAAGCTGGATCTTGCTTAAATAATTTTCACGTGACTTTATAATGTGGGCTATTTTCCTATTAGAAGGCACAAATCGACACAGTTTAATACACTCGAACACAGTTTACCACATTTAAATGGAACGCGATATATATGCAATGTGTGTGCGAACTTTTAATATCTAATCTTTTAAAACATTTTAATCAAAGATAGTCAAAGAACAGAACAAAATGAGAAACTGATTTACATGCGTCTTGATATTAAATTAAATTTATCAAATGCACTTAAACTCTTAAATTCATCAAACTCTAACTCTTTTACAGCAGAGGCGAAGTGTGTCGATTGAGTTTGAACAAAATTGTAAATGGAAAGTAACATGTGTCGATTTGTGTTAAGTGTGTCTCCTAAAAAAAAAACAGCCATATATACATACAGTCATTTGAACTGCGCATCAAATTGATTTTCCGGACTTATAGCGTTTTCTCTTGGGTGCAGTCCTCGCATCGCACCAATTGCGTGTAAGCGCTACACTCAGCTACACTAGAGTGGTGTATACTACATTATTATTGCGCTAAAACCCTATTCCCGCTTGATTTCCATTTTCAAATTTTAAATGTCACACCGTCCCTTTGAGATGGTGTAGCAAAATCCCACTTCATGCATAAAATTAGCACTACACCGTAGCCATGGAAACACGATACACCGAATGAATGTTGCACTAGTGAGCGATAGTGCAGCCAAGAGAAAACGAATATTAGAAATACAATTGAAGTGATATTACTACTGTAGTAATATCACAAATTAAATTGACAAGCAATTTAATAATTTGATGCTCAATCCTATTAGAGCAATCCGATTAGGCATTCTATTAGAGATATGTTGATGTGCTGAAAATCTGTAAATTTAATTGCGAAAAAATATTACCTCGGCTTGAAGCCGGATCTCTAACATTCCGTGCGAGCGTCCTAAACCTTTAGACCATCGAAGCTTTAGTAATATTTTTTGCAATAACTGATATGTAGAGACATAACGCATTTTTCAAGCAGCGTGTATAAACAATAATAAACGATTTATTAAGATCATATAATGTGAGTACACAATAAAAGTGCATTTAGATGCAACCATCAAGTATCAAGCAGTGAAAGTAACAATCAGCGAGGCGATACGTGCATTGGTGTAAAAAAAATATTTTGCTTGATGCTTGCATTTGAATACATAATAGTCGAAACTGGGTTTCTATTTTTGAAAAGAAATGTATACAAAAAGCTAGGGAACTACTATAGCATAAGTAACATATATAGTATTTCCTTAATTTTGTAATACTTTTTTTTTTAAAGGATATAATTTTGTCAAGAAAATCATAGAAGTGTTCAAAAATATGAATTCGTTTAGAAATAAATAAACTTGGAGACTCATATACTTTTGTGCCCGGTTAATTCCCTATTTGAGCAACCCTATTTCATTGTTTACATAAAATAGTATATTTTGAAAGCTTCGCCGAATTTGCAAACTTGCGTACTATTGCTTTGGATCATAATATTTTAATTTAGCAGAATTTATGCATTCTGAGCATATTCTACTATATTATACTTGTTATATAGTCTGCTATATTATATATAAAAGATTATATAAAAGATTTTTAATTCAACATTATCCAACTGAATCTTGTTGTTTGATTTAGGACCAGTTGCACCAATGTCACTTTGACTTTAAGTAAGACTTAAAATTTTATCTGTCTCGTTTTAAAACCAAAAAGAGACAAAAACAGAAAGAGTTTTAAGCGTCGCTTAAAATCAAAATAATAAAAGTTGTACCGTTAGTGCAACCGGATTTTAGGTTTAGGATAAGGATCTGAACACAAGAATTGTCATAACATTTACTTAGAGACTTAAGTTGTAGACATAAGTAACGCACAAGCTTTGGCATATGACATACGATTTATTGCCGTCTCTTGGAGACTGCTTTCTCTTCTATTACATGTAGCGCGATAAGCGGCACGAGCCAGTGACAAATTCACGTTACTATAAACACTTTTTAATAGAATTAATTGGTTTAAATGCAATTATTAAGTAAATCCATTGAAAAAATAAGTAAGTATTGATGAAATGTGCATAGAAATAAGTTGATATATTTTTAAAAATTCATATTAAAGTTTACTTATTACTAGCCCGTGCCTCTTACCGCGCTATATGTAATAGAAGGAAAAAGAAGCAAGCGGCACGGTCCGCGCGGTTCCTATAGTTACTTAATTAAGTTAGTTTCTGTACCGCATACCGTATACCACGTTACATGTAATCACATCCTAAGAATATAAGGTATTTTGTTGCCGAGGATGCGCAGTAATCCAAAATGGCGGCTGCTTCTAAACCAATCACATTTTTGTCTAAAATTATAAAAAATAACATGGCTGCTACCATAGTTGCTATGTATATATTGGGTCATCTAAAAAGTATCCGCGGTTTTTTGTCACTAGATGTGTGTTGATGGTCATATATCTAGTGACAAAGTACCACGGATACTTTTTAGATGACCCAATACATACATTAGGTTAGAAGTGATCAAAAGTCTATCGTGCGCGTCCTCCTTGATTGCATTATTCTTTTAAGAAGTTTGTTCAGTTCGAGAAGGATGGTCGATGAGAGATTAAGAGCGAAGTCCTTTAAGTTTTACGTAGCAACAACAGTTAGATCCGATTGCACCAATATTACTTTGATTTTAAGCAAGGCTTGAAACTCTCTCTGTCTTTGTCCCTCTTTCGCTTTAAAACGAAAAGGGTTTAAAATCGAAGTAACATTGGCGCAACCGGGTCTTAGAAAATAACGATATTTGTAAAAAACCGTGCTTCTTATTCATTCATAAACTATTTCCTTTATTGTAATTTATCAATCTTTTTTTTAAATAATTAATTAGCATATTCTATTTGGTTTGTAGAAATGCACGTGTTGTGTTCAAAATTGTAAAAGTCGTACATAAATCCTACATTTAGCCGATCTTAAGTATCAAATTACATTTATTAACATTATTGTCATTAATTTTATTAATGATAACATTATTTTGTTTTATATTTCATTATTTTATTCACGAGCTTTTGTACTTTTTCAAATTTTAATTTTATTTTTACATTGTTATGTATATATTTTTACCAATACTGCATTTGTATCTGATGCTAAATTTTGAATAAATTTCTGGTACTTTTATTCTAGTACTTTTCTGCCATTATACGTAATGAAATATTGGGTCGTCTAAAAAGTATCCGCGGTTTTTTGTCACTAGATGTGTGTTGATGGTCATATATCTAATGACAAAGTACCGCTGATATTTTGTCACTAGATATTGGGTCATCTAAAAAGTATCCGC